CTAAGATTACAGATGCCCAAAACCCAACCGATCGACAAGAGACAGTTACCATAACACAGGTATAATTTCCAAAATTCATCATCTGTAGGAATTGAACCTTAGACCTGCTACTTGAGGGTTAACAACCTATCCACTTCACTAGGTCGTCATACCCTTGATTAGTTTGTTATAATTTTTCTATATTTTTTATTTACTATAATTAAATAAAGTAATAAAGAAGCTAGTTATTTACATCAATCCAGATGAGACTCAGAGAATTGAAAAAATCTTATATTGTATAATATATATTATTACCTAACTAAATATTATTTCAATTCTAAATTCTTAAAAGATGTATATAAAAAAGAGAGTTATCGATTTAATTTAAAAGATATAAAAAATTAGCTAGAACATTAGCAATCATACTAAATTTATATATCCAATTTAGACATATTTCTAAAGTCAGTTATAAGAAAATAACATGACCAAATTGTGTGCATTAAGCTAATATATTATTTCTTATATATAATAAATATAAAAGAAAAATATATAAGGCAGTGCTTAATATAATAGACTGCACTTCTTAATATAAAATATCAGTATCACTTATCTTAAAAAAAGTTCAAAAGTTACTAAAGTATTTAGAAAAGTATATGATAATTCTAATAATTCTCTTACCTATTCTAAGTTACTTCAAACAGATAATAAGCAAGAATGAATGAATAAAACATTTTGGTTGATGCAAAAGCATAATATCACAATTCAAATAATAAGGCTCTATAGTTATAAAGGTCTTGCAATGATGAAATATTTTAAAAAGACAGAAGAGGATATGCTTTATAAAATTCAATATGCTATTAAGTTTATATTTTTTGAACCAAGATTAATAAAAGTATGCATTAGACATTTATTAAAACTTGTTGATAATCTAAACAGTTATCTCATATGCCTTATTAGAGAACTGAGTTCTTCAAAATAAGAGTTGGCATCTTCAGAGGCTATTTTATTAGAAAAAGTTAAGTTCAGATCATCAGTTCTTAAAAAGTGAGCTATTGGAAAGGATAAAGTAATATTAAATAAAGATGATTTAGTTTACTAACTTCTTGTTAATGCTAAATAAAAAGGTGGTATGAAAGTGATTTGCATAAGCATTGACCTTATATTTTCATTTTTTATTCATAAGATCCAAAAAATTGTAGTTTCTAAAAATGAGCTTATTATATATTATTTTAAAAGTAATAAGTTTTTACCAAAGTATAGATTCATAAGAAAAGAATTTATATTAATAACTAATTTAAAAAAGGTTAAGCACCTCTTTCAAAGAATATTATCTATATATATTGCATATGCTTTTCTTACTAATAATGAGATAACTCAAGCAACAGATTTATGCAAAGAAGCATAATAACTAATGCTTTAGAAAAACTGACCAGATATATAGATATAATATTTATTTCTGGTTCTGTAAAAATAGTACACATCAATAAAAATATCTATTAAAATAATTTATAAAAAAATTCAAATAGTGCTTCTTATATCATTATACTAGTGAATACTAATGCTAATATATTTTTAAGAATCTTTTAAATAAGAAATTTCCATCATACAGGTCTAAATTTTGATTGAAATGCATTTTAATAAATATAATAAGAAATTACAACTTGCATTTAAATTTTAAAACCTTTAGTACTACTATTACAATAGTTTGTATTATCAGAAGAGTAAAAATTTGAAATCACAAAAAATGCATAATCAAAAAAAACAGAATATATGCAAGAACCAAGATATATGCTTTATTAAAATACTTTATATATATAATCTTTTTTCTTATATTAAGTATATATTAATTGAAAAAGGATTCTTGGATAAAATAAAAAATTAAAAAAAAATATTTTTTAGTATATCATTATTAATACTTAATTTGATATAAAAATAAAAAAGCTTGAGCCAGTTAATAAACTTGTATATCACATTAATAAGGTTAAAAATGCTCAAAAATATAATGACTATTCTAGTATATCTCAATGATCTTTTACTCTTCTAATTTCAAATTGCACTAATTCAGAGAAAACTAATAAAATTTTTAATTTTATATTTGAAGATAAGCTTTATCAAATGTTTAATGATAAGAAAGAATTGATATGTTATATTAATTATAATGATTTGATCTTAAATTAGTTATAATCTTAAAGAGCTGAAATATATATATTTTAAATCAATATATTAAATAATTGTAAATAGTTCAAAGCCATATTATAAAAATATTACTTTTTGAGCTTTGAAACCCAATAAAATCTCTAAAGTAAATTTATTTTCTTTTAATAAAAATACAGTAGCTATATTTAAAAATGTATATACTGATTTGAAAAAAGTATAAAAGAAAATTATTTTTTATTTTGTTAAAAGGTAATATTATAATATTAGTTCAATATATGTATTCTAAAGTTACTTTGACTGTTCAAAAATAATATAAAAAAATTACACATATGTTTGTTTGTTTAATGAGTTATGCACTACAGATGAACTAGTCAGAATTGTACATTAATATGCCAATGACTAGTATAATGTGATTAAAATTATTGACAGATATTTATATGATCAAAATTTTATTATTTTAATTTAATTGTATCTCAAGAGCATCTGCACAGAATATATATTGGCTAGAACCAAATTTTGAAAAAATAATGTTTACTTTCTGTATCTTTCTTTTTTTTTTTTTTAGTGACTTCTTTGGTCCTAGCTTTTTATTAATACTTATATCAGATACATGTTTTATATAGACATATTCATAATGAACTATCAGACAAGTGTATAACTAGCTATGCATATAACTTTTCTATATTACCTATTTAAGGAGTTTGTCCAAAGTTTTTCTACCAGTTGCTGTACCTAACACCCCTGCTTAGATGTTCCATTTAAACTCTCTGATTTGAACCTAATATTAATTTTACTAGATTACAGACCCAGATCTATTCACTTTTAACTATAGAACTATAATTCTTAGACTATTTTTATCCTTGAGGTAAATCTACCAGAGTGAGCTGTATTTCCTTTTATTACTAACCTGGTTTGACAATATGGCCAAGACCAATGCTTGCAGTCAGAGTTATTTCTTAAATTGCTATTACTCTTGTAAAGTTTATCCAAACCCTGGTATTCATCTTTCCAACTTCTTCTTTATTATCTTCTACTAGTCACAACTTGAAACTAACAATGGACTTTTTTAAACTTTCAATTCAGATAGCTCAATATAGTATACTTATGTATCCTTTTCTTCTGGCGATTCTGACAGCCTAGTTGGTTATATGCTTCTTTATACATCTTGTCATCTGGTTTATTCGACAGTTTCTATAAAGGTGTTTTATAGGCTTTCATCAGTTTAATGGCATCATCGAAAGTTTGTACTATCTCTTTACTCAATATTTCCAAGTAGGTTTTGATTTCCTTAGTTTTTTAGCTTTCTACACCTAGTGGTCTTATTATGGGTTTGTATTGAAGTCTTATTTGACATTGGTTTTTCATATTCCTTTATATACATATAATGTTATACTTAGTATAAATGCCTGAGCTCCCAATGTCAGATAGGGCCTGACTTGGTGTACCTAAGATTACAGATGCCCAAAACTTAACTGATCAGCAAGAGACAATTATTGTAATACAGATATAATTTTCAAAATTCGTCATTTGTGAAAATTGAATCTTAGACCTGCCATTTGAGGGTTAACAACCTATCTACTTCACTAGGTCACCACATTCTTTTTCTGTATCTTATAATATATAATATTGTTGCATTTTGTATATAATTTAAAAATATTATATATTAGTTGCTTACTATTTTTCTAATGTTTACAATACTGTCTTCTTACAATATTACTAGTTTCAAATAAAATAAAAATCTATAAAATATGTATTAATAATTACATAACTTTTTTGTTTTTGGCTACAAATTTAAATTATAATATTTCTTGATATAGGTTAATAAAGAATTGCTAAAAATTGCTAAAAATACTATAAATTAATAAAATACTACTGTTTGTTAATAAATATAATGAATCTAATTACAATTATTATTAATAATGTTTATAATAAATCTATACCCAAACTTATTAACCTTCATTCAAAATATAATTTAGATTATATAATAAAAAATTTAGTAGAATGTAATAGCTATAACTATAATCATATTGAAAATATATGTAAACCAGAAAAAAAAATACAATAATTTAGCTATTATTAGATCTTATAAAACATTTTAACAGTGAGTTATTCATATAAAAAAAATTTAAAAGAGTTATTTTCTAAAGAAAGACCTAATTTTTTCTATATATATCACCTTTTTAGTTTATTAAACAAGAAAGTATTAGAACATATCTTGAAAATTACAAATTAAAAATAGAACATATTAGCTATCAAAGATCTAAAGTTTATAAAAGTCAGATAGTTTTATGTTTTAAATACTGAAGATTAGTAAAAATTACTAAAGTAAAGTCAAAAAAGATATATTGTAAAAGATGATGCAGATATAGTTATAAGATTAAATTCAAGGATTTAATGCAATATTATTGGAATAATAAATGCTTCAAAACCAAAATTCAAGATATGTCAAGTTTATTGTTTCCTTCTTTATTACTACCAAAACTTATTATATTAATAAGTGATCTTTTAAGATACATATATAAACATAATGCAAGTGCATCCAAAATTAAAAATTTTTAAAATAATCAATCAAATATGCTTAAAATTTTTAGCAAGACTATTTTAGACAACTTTGCCAAATTATATTTTAATTTTGTGCAAAAAAAGATAAAAGAGATAAACTTAATATCTTTTGATTAAATACTAGTATAAATTTATTTGTAATAGTTGTTTACTGTTTTTTTAATATCATTCTTAAGATTATAATACTACTTTGTGATTTTATTACTTAAAGTCAGTTGTTATAATTGATTAAGAAACAAAAAAAAATAAATAAAAATAAATAAAAAATTAATTAAAATTATATTTTATATAAACAGAATAAGTTTATTTTGTTTATTTTTTTTTTGGCAATTGAAAAACTACCTAAGCTAAAGTACTAAACTACTAGCAATAATGATTATACTTTTTTAAATATATAATATACTAAGTTAGAAGCCTTATTGTTAAGAGATAAAGACTTAAATAAAATTTTTTGTATAATTATATATACTCGTAACAAGTAATCTATATAGTTGATCTATTAATACAAAAGTGATTTAATATAAATTAATAAATTTAAATGCAATATATATCTAGTTTAGGTTGAATATAACTTTACTTATTGATAACAGTATAGTAAAGTTAAATTTTGTTTATAATTTTTTTTGTTAGATATATTTAATCACTCTCTGTAATGTAGTTTATTTGTTTAAAAAGTTTGCATTATTTTCTCTCTAATATATGCCCTATATCAAAGATGATGAACATACTTAGTATAAAAAAAAATATTATGTGTTAATTTAAATTTTGAGATGAATATATTTAAACTATTTCTTATTTTGTAATTTAGTGAACTAAACTACAAAAAGCTTATTTAGCCTTTCTTTTCTTACTATATAGACAATAATAGTTAACAATTATGCCTTTTATAAATAGTTTATAAATATAGAAAAAATAAATTTAAGAAGATAGTAGTTAAATCCTAAATCTAACTTAAAAAGCTATAACTATATTTAAAAAGACTATTCTATAAAAAATAAATTACATATTTTTTGTGAACTAGATGATTATTTTCACCTAAGTACTAAGCTACCTAAGGTAATTATGAACCTGTTGAGTCTTACAATATGCATAGTTAGAGGCCTTATTGCTCAATTTTAGAAACAAAATTTTTTGCTTGACTTGGTATATTCATACAAATAGCTTTAGCAATCATTTTATCAATACAAAAACAATCTAATATAAAAAGATAAAATATTAATAAAAAATTTTAAATAGAAAACAAAAAAAAAAGATTTTACATATGTATTTATTTGAGTCTTATACATGTAGAATACAAAGAATATTTCAAGTTAGTTATTATTATGTAGCTTGTTATACATATTTGTAATTAATATCTCAATTATTTTTTTTTTAAATAAATATTATATTTTTTTTAAAGAGTGGTTTACTTAATCTATAAATATTTATACATCTGAATTTTTAATGTTTTACATATTAGATATTAAAAGTTCAATTAATATTTATACTATCTTTTTGTAATTGTATTACTTAAAGCCAGAAAATAAGTTACTTGATATAAGTATATTGTTATAGGTAGATTCGACCCTAAGACCTTGAGGAAATGTTGCGTAATAATCCATGATCTGCATCACAAAAACTGTTATACCATGATACCTGTGATTCAAAACTAATCAAGCTCTTCATTAAGTGACAGTGCTGATCCATTGAAGAAAAAGCCACTTGCCCAATTTGGAATCCAACTGTTAAGATAATATTATCTTGACAGGAAAAGTCTGTGGCCATGTCAATGCATCATCATATGTTGGATTATATGCTGTTGTGGGATGTTGCTAAAGTAACTATGGATGAATTGTAGGAAAAAGGAAAAAGTATTAGTAAAAAAGTGAAAAACGGTTTATGATAATAAGAAAAAGGATGTCAAAGCTGTGTCCCAAGTTCCCCCTTTCTCTCTCAAAAAATGTTCTATAAAGAGTACTTCTCCGCTCTATAGTAATATATAGATGAGATATAGTACCTTTCTGCCTCTTAAAAACCAAATTGCCTTGTAACTTGTAATCTGCACTAAAAAATAAATAAAGTTTATAATTAATAAGTGCTAGTTAAATTTAAATAAATGATTAAATAAAATAAACTATTATGCTTTTTTAACTCCTCTGGTAACATTCTCAAGACCACTATAGACTAGTGCCAAATCGAATCCACTTTACCTGCCTTGAGCAATGTTACATGATGTTGATAAATTCGAAGTGACAATTCGTCTCATTCTTTCTTGTCTCTATAGTGCTGTTCTTGACCCTGTACCCTGTATCAATATATACAAATTTAGCATAATAATCTTAATTTGATATTTCATCTATATATTCTAACAGTACTTTAATAGCACTTCAACAGTAACTTAATAATTTTATATATCAATATATTTATTAAGAAAAAAAGTCAATAGCATTTTAACAGTAGCTTAATAACAGTTATCTAAAATCTATTAATATATATTTAGTAATCATATATGTGCATTATTTTAAATTTATTTTTCTACAACATCAAAAAGATATTAGAGTTACATATAGTAATTACTTGATAGGTGATAAAATCTTGATTGGCTTTAATAATAATAACAATAGCCTGCATTAAATTTTATGCAGTATTACTCTTCTACAAAATTATTTTTTACAATAGATTTTTGATTAACAGTTAATAATTATGCATTCTAGAATTTTTTTCTTATCTTATATAAAATTCTGTAATAAGAATAAAACTTAAAAAGGCTATAAGAATAATAAGTATAATGTTTTTTATCAGTAGTTTTATCAAAATTCATATGTTTTAAAAACTGTCATCTCTCAAAATTATTAAATCTAAACCTTTTTTAAGTGATTGTTAAATCTAAAGAGTTTAATTTCATCTAAAAACATAATAAAATTTATTTAATATATGAAGCTTATAACTAAAATAAAGTTGCTTTGTTAAATATAATCTGGCAATACTAGAGTAATATGATTACTAATCATTTAACTTTTTTTTCTAGCAGATTCTCAGATTTAACAAATACTAAATATAAAAATAAGCAATTTTTTGTTCCTTGTTGAGTAGGTTATAATATTTTTTTGCTTATATATAATTTTTTTACTTAATTTATTTGTAATTTATTTTTAATATATATATATGTTTTATACAGAGGGTTTTGATCTACAATTATTTTCTAGAATAACTACTAGAACAAAACCTTATTTATTATAATTTTTTTTTTTAAGAATATAGTACTAATAATTCTAACAATTTAACACTGTCTAATTTAGCACTATTCAACCCAATACTATCTAACTTAACATTATCTAACCTAGTACTATTCAACTTAGTACTACCTAACTTAATACTGTCTAATTTAAGGTCATTTAATTGAAGACCTTAATATAATAATAAAGCTTGTAAGTAAATTTTATATTACATAATTATGTTTGTATTTTTCTAAAACAAATTTTAAGTATTTCTTTGAAATATAATTTTTTGATTAGATCTTTTATTATATTAAAACTAGATAATAATTCTTTTTATCCTATTTTGAGAGAAGCTATAGAAAAATATAAAAAAAATAATGACTAGGATGTTATAAATTCTGGTTATACTAATAACTATTTATAATTATATTCTATATATTATATTTTTTTATTATTCCTTAATCTATAAGCTTTTCCAGACAAATTTGTCTAGAAAATTGTTAAAAATATACTTATAATCTATATTTTTTAAATTTTAAAATATTTAAATAAAATGTTATTTAATAATATTTGAAAATAAAAATTATATTATAGCAATTTTTAATTTTATATTATAAGAAAAAAAATATATATTACTTATAAACTAAAAATAGACAAATTTAGAAAAAATTTTTAATTAAAAAAATTATTTATAAATTTTTGGCAAACTCTTTAAATATTAATTTTAAATCTATAGTTCTTAATACAATATTTTAATTTATATAAAAGATGACAATTTTTATTAATAATACTTTTGTAATTTACTTATAAAAATTTAGACTTGTACAAAATATAAAACTTTTTTTTGGTTTCAAAAATATGAAATTTTAAAAATTCTTGAAAAATTTTTAATAATAAAAATTTTTAAATATAATTTTTAAAATTTTAATACATAAAAGTTTATTAATATTTTGAAAAAAAATTTATAATAAAGTTTATAAAATATATTTTTAAGAATATATTTCATAAACAAAGTATACCTCATATCATTAATAAATTATTATTTTATTTAAAAAATACTAAATACAATTTAATTTTTCAAGCAAATTTGCCTGGAATACAGTTTAAAGGATAAAATATTTTTTTTATTTGTATATTGTTGGTCCAACAACAATTTTTATTAAATAAAGAGAGGAGTTCTATGCTCTACCCATTTTTTATTTTAACACAATTGTGTGAACAAGTATCGATCATTAGTTATACTGTTATTTTGATTTTTATTAGCACTGCTAAAAAGTCAAAATCTTTTTGACTCTTTCTTTTCTTTTTCAAAGAGTTGCGCATGAGTCTGGCATTTTCTTCTCTAAGTCAGTCAAACTCGGATTCCATTTTCATTAACACGAGAAAAAAATAACGTGAATATATATGCGAATCGCACGTCGCACAGTCTTGATCTATCGATCTGCGGGGTGAAAAAATAACTCAAATTAATTTTGCAAAAAATGATACGAAAAAAGACGATATCGTCTGCGCATTTCAGGTGATCGATCTCGGCAAAAATGCATCATATCTACCGCACATTAAAACAACCGCGAAATATTAACTCTACCGAACTTTTCACATTAACTATAAGGTTCATAGACAGAAGTTTGTCTGATTGGCTAATAAATTCAATTTAATTTTACATTATTTATACAGTTTAGAGTACTTTTTAAAAAAAACGAAAACTAATCATAATGAAATAAAAAGCTCTATAGAAGGTTTCATTAGAGCTGTAGGACTCCATAGCAAAAATAAGATCTAATTCTTGTCCGTTTAAAAAGTTAGTATAGTAATATCTGCTCAAACCCCGATAAAATCAACTTATTACTAATTTTTTTTAACCGAATGAGAATTAGATCTTATTTTTGACTATGGAGTCCTACAGCTCTATTGAAACCTTCTATATAGTTTTTTTTTTACTTATTATGGTTGGTTTTCGTTTGTTTAAAAAGTATTCTAACTTGTATAAATAATGTAAAATTAAATTGAATTTATTAACCAATCAGACGAACTTCTGCCTATGATGTCAAAAATAAAATAAAAATCGATCTGTCGATGGCGCCATTAGGCTATCATTTGACATTCCACGATTAACAAACATTCGACCGTCAATCGGTAAATACGTATTCGACATATTTGGCCAAATAATTTCTGAATGATGGTCAATCGGATAACATGTCGAATTTTTACCATGGCTAAATGTGAAATGAATTTAATTTACAAGATAATCAGGGTTACTATATTGGGAAATTTACTCATTCCAATTCATTGCTTCATCGTTCCATTGAAAATAAATTTCGCATTAACGCACTTTTTTTGATGCTACAATTCTTTAATTTTGTAAAAAAACTAGTAATGCTTGTGAATTAATGCTGTTGCCTAGAGATGGGAATCAATTTCTATCCACCCTTAGACTCTGCCTAATGGCCATAACGGTGATCAAATTTTATTGTGTTGTTGACTTATACATATCGTGACGTCTTATAGATAACCTTGATAGTGATAGTCCATAAAGCTTAAATGAATTTACTAGCACTGTAGACAATCATTTAATAAATATCTTATTTCATAGCCTGTTGATTTATTTTACAGAAGTTTAACTTACAGACAAATTGCTAGCATCTTCTGCCGCTTCAGAATATCGATCTTATACACTTCGAAGACGATCTTATTTCGTTCCTTCTTTACAATGTACCTAAATAGAGTTATTGGGTTCCACATATTGTGATCATGAATATCAATGCAATTCGGTGTCATTCATTGTACAAAACAAATATGGTAGCAATAATCTTATATGGAAATAAAGTTACAGTGTTTGCCAATTTATAGTCATAAGGTTTAATTCTTTATACAAGTTTGGGCATAAGCCATATGAATTTATAATAATAAAAAAGTCATACGACATATTTGCCAAGTCTGTATAGTAATACTACATATCGATATACCGATATTATGAAACGTAATTTTTAATTTTCAAAGTTGTTGCTTATTTATCCTATTTTGACGACAACTATAAATATATTCTTGTTTTGCATAATTTACTTCATAAATATGCTATATATCTTAATTTAACTTGAAATTTATTTTGTAATAATCGAAAAATGGTAATGGCACGATGTTGCGGCTGCATTCCTATGAGAAGAGGTGTTATGATTATAGCAATTATTTGGATGGCATGTCGATTTTTAATATCTTAATTAAAATTCTTTACGTTTATGTGCCATCTAAGGTTTCTTTATACTAGATTGGAGGAATATATGGCATTGTCCAAAATTCTGTCCTTGTTATAACTAATTACTATTGTAATTTTTACTTAATATTTCTTTTTCACTTGAACTTAATTTTAATATTTTAATAATAATTTAATTTATTGTACTAGATAAGTTCATTCTTGAACCAATGGCACGGATTGCCTTAATTATAAATGTTTTAATGACATTCATATGCGGGTTTGGATTTATTGTTACCTGCATGGTATGTAGTTCATGTTGGTGATATTGTAAGTATCATAATGTTTTAACTATTTTTTTCTTTTTAAATATATAGAAATCCGCACGGCTCTTGAAAATCTTTTCTGGACTTTTTATTCTTATTATAGTTCTACATGTTATATATGCCATTTATTATGCTGTAAAAATTCATTCAATAGGTTATATGAATATCTTTTTAAACGAGACAATTATTCATTTTATTGGACCTGTTGTTGAAGTATGTTTATATTTTATAAAATTTGATTTAAAGCATTATTAACCGATTAATTAACTCATATTTAATAGATTTATTTTGCCAAACTAATTATTGATTATGCTATAATGGTCACAATTGAACGAAATAATTCACCAACACCTGGAAGAGTTGAGAATCCTGATATACCAAGTAACCAAGAATCAAGTAATTAATTAATAATTTTATCTAAAAAAAAGGTCAATAATTCAAAAAAATCATGAAAATGTATATATGAAAATGTATTATAGCAGTGGCTAATTAATGCCCAATATTTATAACTATAATTATTAAACAAGTATTCAAATAATCTTAAGTTTAATTCACTAGAGTATTTGCTATATATTGATATAGTTGTTATGAAAGCATGAAACAAAGTATAAATGTGGTACATGAACATTCATAAATATAAACATAGATATGGATATAGATAAGCGTCATTAAGTAGTAGCTTCAAATAACGCCAAGAGTGTGAATTTTTAAATTTCGGTCAAATTAAGCTTAACTCTGGCCGCAATTCGAAATAACTCTTATGTCCGTTATAATACAATTTTCATTTTCATGAGAAGTATGGATCCAGCCTTATGAAAAGCCGTCATTTATTACTAGCATTAAATGAATTCTACATTGTATTTGTTAATATTTTAATTTCTCATCCGAAAAATTACATCCAGATTAGTTAAAATGTTCTTTAACATGGTTAGACATAATGTAGAACAACTTTTAACTTATGTAATGTAAATAAGTTTTTTTTTAACATTTGTTTTTTTTTGTATTTTTAAATTCAAAATCTTTAAAACAATGCCACCTAACTTAGAAGCTATCAACAAAGTTCTTATTTAACCTATTATTCTTCAATTAATTATTTTTATACCTGTTATTCACTATGTTATCCTTTTTAAAAAATTTAATCACAAAATTTTATACAAACTGGTTCTTTGGAAGTTGTTAATAATTACCAAATATTTATGTTACTTAGTTTTTTAAAAAGAAAAAAAGAAAAATATTATTACAAAATTTGATATCTTGGTTATTACCTACTATATGTCAAACAAATTTAATAAAGCTATTATTTAATTCTGAATAGATATATAGTTAATGTAACGATCTATAATATATAAAATAGTATTGACAACTTGTTACAGTAAGTTAGTCACTTTATGATTAGTATGTTATATAACCTACAAGTTAGCTAAGTTGAAAAAAAGTGTTTATATTTAATGAATAAATTATTTATAATCATAAATATTATGACATAGCAAAAGCATCAATACTCTTTCTAATGTTTATCTGTATCAAACTTTTCAAAAAACCAAACTACAGAAAAATAATATAGTTAATATATTAAACTTTATGAAAACTTTTTTAAAATACTATATACATATATTTGGATATTGAATTAGAATTGAAAAAAAGTTACAACTTTGTAGTAATAGTTTAAAAATGTTTTAAAATTGTAGAAAAAGTAATTAGTAAAAGTTAAAGTTTTTTATCAAGTAAACAACAAAGTTAGATATATTAGTTCTATACAACTATAAAACCTACAAAAAACATCTAAAAGATCAAAAACTCACAGAAACTACTAAGTTGGTTCATCTTTTGTTTTTATTTTTTTTAAGAAAAATTCATAAAAAGTGAATAATTTAGTTTACTTTTTTCTAAAGATTAATACATAAATTACTAAAATGATTAGTAATATTTACTTTCTAAACAAGTTTGTTAACAACATAAACTGGCAATAATACAGTAATATAAACATGACTATACATATGCTTTAAGTTATTAAAAATCTGTTAACACTGCTTACAGACTAATTAATGTTATATATTGACTCTTTATAACCAAGTTGAAAATTTTTTTTATTATAGTTTTTTGTTAAATAATCTAAATAAATAGGAAAATAATAAAATTAATTTTATTTAGTATAGTTTATAATTTTTAAAACTTAACACAAACTCATAATTATAATTATAATATTTATAAATTGCAAGTTTTATAATTTTTTTATTTTATTTATCTTCTTTCTTCTTTTATTTCTTATTTTGTATTTTTTATTATTTACTTTTATATTTCTATATTTTTTTTATAAATAAAATTTTTATTATTATTTTTTTTTTTTTATAAAGATATTTTAGATTAATGATAGTCTATTGTAAGACAGTAGTCAAATAAGCAATCTACTTTTAATTGAAATAATGTATCAGAATGCACTTAAATACTATTTAAATAATCAGATGATAATAGACTTAAGTATTAAAAAAATTCTATATCATTTGTATAGTTTCAAGAATTCTAATAAAATATTAACATGACTGCTTAAGGTAAAAAAAGATATAGCAAAAGCAGAATATTATTAGAAGACAGATTTTATTAATTATAAACCATTAATATTCTTTTTATAAAACTTAAAGTCTTTATTATATACTTTTTTTATATAAGATACATTATATTGTTATAGGTGAAAGCCTTCTTAATTTTTACACTATAATGATGACATGGCATAAAGAATCCCTTATGAGTATATGCAATGTCCAAGAGAGAAGTATAGTTTCTGTTAGACATTGTCAAGAAACTATACCCTTCTCTGAGGCAGTTTAGGAAAAGTAATGCAATACTA